CATTGTTTAACTTTTTCAGCTTAAAGTTCACAGCAGGTACACCAGAATACTGCTGGCTAGTTTTCTTTTCTACTTTGATTATGGTGTTTGTCTTCTTGGCTTCACTCTAGAATGATGTGCCCAAGCTAACTTGAGAGTGCTAACTTGGGAGATGAATGAATGGTTAGGAGTGCTTCTATTGAGCCCACTCATTAGAGACTCAGTTGGTCCTGAGAGAATGGATTTTTCCAGACTTTCAGCAGCACAAGCTTCTCACATTAACACTTGTAGAGAGATGTATCAAAGGAGAAAGATCACTGAAGAGCATACTGGTATCTATGTAGTAATGTCATTGATAAAATTAATAACAGAACGTAGGGGGCAAACCTATTCTCTCTTATTGACCTCAATCTCTGAGGTTGGGAAGCTTGACTTACTTAGGGATGGCCTCCAATACAGTAATTCCCAAGGGTTTAACTAAAGTCTATTTCAAGAGGATCACTCAAATACTAAGCTAGGCAACAAGCAACACTTGTACTTAAGTTGTGCTCATTTTTTTAGCACATTTTAGACAAAGTTTTCTCCTAAGTGTGGTTAACCATTTTTATCTTTTTTTTTTTTTTTTAACTTTGCTGCAAGCTCTAGGGTGAATATTTCTAGTTGAACAGCACATCAACAGAGAACTACCAGAAGTCCAGGCTGGGTTTAGAAGGGGTCATGGTACTAGAGATATTGTAGCTGATGTTAGATGGATCTTGGCTGAAAGCAGGGAATACAAGAGGAATGTCTATCTGTGTTTCATTGACTATGCAAAGGCATTTAACTGTGTAGATCATAACAAACTGTGGCTGACTCTGAGAAGAATGGGAATCCCAGAACACTTGATCATTCTAATGCAAAATTTATACTTGGACCAGGAGGCAGTCGTCAGAACAGAGCAAGGAAACACTGCATGGTTAAAAATTGGGAAGGGCGTACGCCAGGGATGCATTCTATCTCCATACCTTTTCAACCTATATGCAGAACAGATCATCCGGGAGGCTGAGCTCTATGAGGAGAAATGTGGGGTCAAGATTGGTGGACAATTTATCAACAACCTGCGTTATACGGATGACACAACCCTGCTTGCTGAAACTGAAGAGGACCTGAAGCGCCTGCTGCAGAGTGTCAGGGACTGCAGCCTACAATATGGATTGAGGCTCAATGTCAAGAAGACAAAGATTCCCACCACTGGACCAATTGGCAGTATCAGGATGGATGGTGAAGAGATTGAGATTGTACACAGCTTTAGTTTGCTTGGCTCCATAGTCAACAGTCTTGGCACCAGCAGCCAGGAAATTAAAAGGTGCATTGCCATGGGAAAGTCTGCTGTTAGGGACCTCTCCAAAGTACTGAAGAGCAATGGTGTCTCTCTGGAGACTAAGGTGCATCTGATACAGGCCATGGTCTTCACAATCACTTGTTATGCATCAGAGAGTTGGACAATGACCAAGGAGGATAGAAGGAGAATTGATGCCTTTGAGCTGTGGTGCTGGAAAAGAGTATAGAGAATACCATGGACTGCTAGGAAAACAAACAGATTTGTCCTGGAAAGGGTTAAACTGGGTGGCTCCTTGGAGGCAAGGATTCTGAGGCTCCATCTAACATACTTTGTACATGTTGTGAGGAGAAACCGGTCCTTGGAGAGGGACATCATGCTTGGGAGGGTGGAGGGACAGCGCAGGAGAGGAAGGCCCTCTATGAGGTGGATTGATTCAGTGATTGGGATAATTGGGATGGGAGTGTCAGAGACAGTGCGATTGACACAGGACAGAGCTGAGTTTAGGGCTGTTGTACATAGGGTCACTATGAGTCACAAACGACTCGACGGCACATAACAACAACAACCCAAGGGTTTACTTATTTATGGAGTGACTTGGGCTGTGAAACTCCTCCATTGTTAATTTGAAAGTAAATTGAGGAATAATTTCCTTAAGGAGCTCTGTTTTCCACCCTTTCAAGGCATGCTTCTTAGCCATAGGGAGTAGTTTCATGCAAGACACTAAATGCTTGCATTTCCAGGAACAGGATCTTTCTTACAGGGCTTAACTGGCACCCAGCTGTTAATTCTCTTTATAGCCTCATTTCTTTGCTCTCTCTAGCTCTTTGGTGGAGTAGAGAGGCAGGGGTTAGTTAGAGGTGTCTAAAAGTCAGTGAGGTGCTCTCTCACCTATGTGGTTACCTGGAACTCATAAGTGCTAGTCACTATGCTCGTCCTCAGACCCCAACACCCAGAGTCATCTGATCTCAGTCATCTAATTCAAACCTTCCTGGTAGGCATGAAGTGATGCATTGAGACCCATTGTGAATACTCTCTTCTTGAAAGAGAGTAATATTTCCTCTGGGAAGGTCTAGTAGTCACCCTTTTTTCAGGATGTGCTCTATTCCAGCATCTGGTACTGCTGAAATAGGCACACTGATCTGCCATACACCCACACACATATTTCCCTTGAGGAATCTCCTTTTTGCTCCCATCTCCTTGTTTTCTCTTGATGTTACTGGGGTGAAAATTGAAGGTGACTGCTCTGAGATCAGCTTTGTCCTTCATCTTTCACTTTTGTTAAGCCATTATGAGGACTCTGGGAGTTAATGGGTGTGTTAATGGTAAAGAGTTGTGCTGCCAATCCAAAGGCCAAAGTTCAAGTCCAACAGTTACCGAAAAGTAAGCAGTTTCCCCCCATATTATTGACTGTTTCTGAAAGCCCAGTGGAGGGTCAGCTAGGAGTTCCTTTTGACTGGATGGTACATGACCATAACAACGAGACCTCAATTTTTAAACATTTTGAGTGTTATTTCTTTTTTTTTCTTTTTTCTTTTATTATTTTTGTGTGTGAGTGCCGTCAAATCAGATCTGACTGGTACAGGAGAAGACTACCCCTCCTTCTCCAGCAGAGCATCTATCTGGTGGATTTGAACCACGTACCTCTGGGATTGCAGTGCAACATTTTGCCACTAGGCCACCAGAGCTCCCTTTGAATGCTATTTCTTAAAGCTGACCTGTGAGCATCCTCAAACCTTCTAGCTTCTGCAACTTCTTTTTTAAATCATTATTAGGTTAGAAGATGAAGGTCATTATTAACCATGTAGGCATTCCCTCTGCCATGTGGGTCAAGATCTGTATCCATTACTCTTTTTAGGAAAGCCACTGCTTCCTTCTTTTCTCTTTGAATTACTTCTGGAATTTTTTTGCCAGCTCCTCAATTTCGGAGACCCAGTTTTTCCCCACTATTAGTCTCAGTATAGGTTGCCAGGATTGCTTGCTGCTCCGTATTTCTTATTGGGATCCCATCGAGAGTGATGAGTGGGAATACTTTCAATCCTGAGGGCACTGTTTTCCTTGTTGGGGGTCAAGACAGTTGAGCCTTTTTGCTTCTTTTTGGGCTTAATTTAGTACTATACAATAGTCTTCAGTACTTAATACGGTGGTAAACAGGGCATGGATATTTGCCCAAATAGATAGATGGCAAAAAATAGAAGAGGTCTGCAATCTAATTGAATTCATTCCAGTAGGTGTGGCATGATTTTTCTGGTTGTACAAAAAGAAAGTTGAGAAGTGTATAAGCATCATGCTCCAAGGCCACCCTGCTCCACCTATTCCTTTGGTGGTTTCCCTCCATGGAAATTTCCCTGCCAAAAGCTGGTAGATTGAACCATATGGCTCTAGGCTGCAATCACAACTCCTTATCATTAAGCCACCAGAACCCCCTTAGCTTCTGGTGTTATTGTTGTTATGTTCCACAGAGTCATCTGTGACTCATAGAGACCCTATGTACAACAGCCCTAAACCCTGCTTTATCCTATGTCAATCTCACTGTCTCTGACACACCTACTCTCAATACCCCAGTCACTGAATCAATCCGTCTCATCGAGGGTCTTACTCTCCTGCCTCTACCCTCCCAAGCATAACATCCCTCTCCAAGGACTGGTCCCTCCTTGCAACAAGCCCAAAATAAGTCAGACAAAGCTTCAGAAATCCTTGACTCCAAGGAGAAGGCTGGTTTAATCTTCTCCAGGACAAACCTGTTTGTTCTCCTAGCAGTCCATAGTATATTCAATACTCTTCTCCAGCACCAAAGCTCAACGGCATCAATTCTCCTTCTAGTCATTGTCCAGCATTCTGACACATATCAAGTGATTGAAAAGACCATGGCCTATATCTGACGCACCTTAATCTAAAGAATGACATTGTAGTTTTCAGTAATCTTTGATACTTCAATCTCTATTATCACAAGGTGTTTCCCCTTACAAAGATACTAGTCATTGGATTGAGGACTCACTTCACTCTAATAAGAATTATTTTAACTAATTCAATGTGCTGTTGTATGTATCAAGGAGGCACCAACTCATAGTGAACCCTCCAGCAGGTTTGCAGAGGTAGTAAACCACATGGGGGAGAATTGTCTATCTCTCTCTGATGGATTTGAACCATGTGTTGGCAGCCCAGCTTCCCACCCTGATCATGCCTGGAATGACCCTATTACTAAATGAGTTCCCACATTGAGTTTCTAAGTAGGACAGAAGTCGTCACGTACACTAGCCACTAAGTAGAGATGCCTTCAACTTTATGATCTCAGGTCTGACATTTCTCTTTACACCTTTGGAGAGCTTCCCTTTAGGGATTTGAAAATTATTTGTTGTTATTGTTGTATGTTTTTAAAATTCTAATTTATTAATTTTGGGAAAGGCTTTAGACTCCTAATTCCTTCTAAAAACTCGGGCCTTCTTTATTGTTTGACTCCTGCACCTCTTGTGCTTTCTCTGTTTGTTTCACAGAGGCATTTGAGTTTATAGAAGGGCCTTACTGTCTTAGACTAAGCACACCCATGTGATTTAAAGACTTAAATCATCCTCTTTAAATAAAAGCTGGGGTGGGAGGGGCAGGCAGGGCTTGTAAGTGCTTCCTCTATGCAACTTTCCAGGATGTGGGGAAGCATTTCTATCCTTCAGAGAAGAGAATTCAATCTCTTGTTTTTGTATTTCAGGAAAACGAGTATGCCTTGGAGAGCAGCTGGCCAGGGCTGAGTTGTTTATTTTCTTCACTTCCTTTTTGCAAAAATTTACCTTCAGAGCCCCACCCAATGAGAAGCTGAGCCTGAAGTTTAGAATGGGTGCGGTCCTCTCCCCTGTGAGCTACCGCATCTGTGCTGTCCCCCGAGAGTGATGCTGCTGCTGGGGGAAAGCAAGCATCGTGGAATGTGTCCTCAAAACAAGAGTGCCTGCTCAGAACTGAGGGACAAACAGAAGTGCCTCTGAGGAAAGACAGAATTGGACTGATAGGAAACTGAACCCAAATACCAACTCTACTGTCTTCTCTGAAGTAATCCATAGGCAGAACTTTTACATTCTAAGTGATTTGCCTTTTCATCCATAAAATGAATGAAGATGATAATTCCTCTCTCCAGAAAGTTATTGTAAGAATTAAAGGAAATAATGGATATAAAATGTGTTCTAAACCCTAAAATCACATTATAAAATTGTAGCTATAATCTGCCTCCTATTTCTCTACAGCTGTGTAAGCTTCTGCCTAATATTGAACTCAGTTCTTTCAAACTGGCCGTAGGTTGGTAAAAACAATTAGAGTTGGGTCTTGTGGATGCCTTAAGGCTTCACCATTCATGCCCTGCATGTGCATTGTAGTCCTGGCATGGTGCATATGGTCAATGCACTTGGCTACTCAGAAAGGCTTGATGTTTAGGGTTCTAGATCACCCAGAAACAGTCCAAAAGAAAGGCTTGGAGATCTATTTTGTTAAAAAATCACCCATTAAAAGCTCTATAAAACTATTTCTATGCTTACACATACGGAATCATATGAAGATAGAATCAATTTAACAACCAGTTTTAGGTTTTACTGCCCTGTGCCTTATCCTATGTGACCCTCAATGTGATCCTTAGTGAAGTTAGCAAGATGAGTATTGATTACTTTTATTTAGAGTCACAGAAAGTCTGCTTTACAAATGACTTATATAAAGACATGCTACAATGACTTTGATACTAGGACCAAAGAGTGTTTGACCACAATTAACTGTACTGGGAACTGGATTTGGGGAAAACTGTGCAAGTATTTCCTGTCCAGAAACTGTTTCTCCACAAGGTTCCAACTCATAAAAACCTCAGAGTGAGCCAGTAACATAGAGAAAAAACTGTAGATCTACTTTTATAAGAAGTGCTGGAGCAGTGGTTATAGCATATGGCTGTTAAGTGAAAGATCTGATCCCACCACTGTTCAGTGTAGTGACACTACACAGCAGAAAGATTAGCTTCCATAAAGATCACAGTGATCTTTGCAGTACACTATCTGTCTCCTGCAGAGCTGGTGATTTCAAACTTCTAGTTCCCCAGAGTCTCTTTGGAGAAATATGGACAATCTCTTCCAGTGCACACTCCCAAAACTTGACTACACTGGAGTGCCAGGTATGAGTCTGTTCCAACAAGGTAGCACTGAGTTGACCAACATGGCCACTCAAAACCCCTCAGTGCCTTAGAGTACACTCCACCTCACTGCAAACTGCATTGTGTTTCTGAGACTGCAAACTTTTATGAGAGGAGATTTCACAAGAGATAGAATTAATATTCAAACACTTCTCTGAAGAAGAGCTAGGCCAAGATGGCATACTGATGGTTTCTTTTCTAACAGTTTAGCAATAATCCTTCACAGATTCTCTCCACAGGGATAGGGGAGGGGAAACAACAAGAGAACATTTCCTTAGTCATTCTTAGTGGACAATAAGACAAATAAATCACAAGGGGAAAAATATTCTTTGTGAACACAGGGAATAAACATCTTAATTAAATTAAATAGAGCCACATTGGGAAAAGATTATAGTGGAATATATCACATGATTAGTCTAAAAGGAAAAAAATAATGTATGTAAATACCCTATATTAGTAGAAAAAAAGGAAGAACACTTCACAGTTACCTCAGTAGATGCAGAAAATGACAAAATGGTCACCTGAAGATTGGAGAAAGATGCACATTTTCACAATTTAATAAAAGACATCAATGGAAAATGTACAGCTATTACTATACTTAATGATGACAAATAAAACTTCTCCCTTGAGATCACAAGAGCAGGAAAAGTTGACACACTCTACAAGCAATTTCTTACATAGAGAACAAGATTCACAAAACAACTATGAGATGTCATCTCACCCTAGTAAAAATAGCAAAATTTAACAGAACAGCAAACATCAAATGCAGGTGAGGTTATGGAGAAACTGGAACCCTTATTCACTGTTTAGGAATGTAAAATGGTACAACCAGTATGGAAGGCTGTATGGCACTTTCTCAAAAAGTTGCAAATAGAAATACCATTTGACCCAGCAATTCCACTACTGGGAATTTACACTAAAGAAACCATACCTACCACCCAAGCAGATATAAGCATACCTATGTTTATTGCCATTTTGTTTGCAAAAGCAAAGAGCTAGAAACAACTCAAGTGACCATCAACAAATGAATAGATAGAGAAGCTATGGTATATTCACACAATGGAATACTTGGCAGCATTGGAAAACAAGGAACTCATGAAATATTATGCAAAATGGATGACCCTGGAGGACATTATACTGAGTGAAACATCTCAGACACAAAAGGAAAAATGTTGCATAGGGCCATTGTTGTAAAACAGGACTGACATCAGGGTTGAGGGAAGACAGAGAAGGAGGGGAGGAATGATGTAGACTGTACTGAAACAGAAAAGGGAGAAAACTGTTTAAAAGGGATATATGATTGAGTATTATTGTCATGACAGGAGTCCAGAATGAAGGCTGCATAGTGGACCTGGGGGGAGGGATTGCATAACAATGACAGAGTTTTTCTTTTACTTTTCAAGGAGAAGTGAATTGGGGGGAGAGGATGGGCAGGGAGAAAAGTGCAACAATGAATGACTGGGAACCCTAAGTCTCTGTAAACTTTTGTTAAAATGAGTAAAAACCCTATTATTATTATTATTATTATTACTTATACCATCATTCACTTTTATACAATTATTCACATACATTGTTTCATTCATGTATATTTAGTTTTATACAATCATTTCTGTACAATGTTAAAAAAAAGAATAAAATGTTCACATTTTAAAAAAAGAATTTTCAGGTGAATCACAACAAATACATGTGGTCCTATAGGTTGGACTGCTAACTTAAATGATAATTAGTGCAAATCCACCAGGAGCTCTGCAGGAGAACTTTGAATATGCCCTTGAAAAAGTTAACAGCCTCAGACCTAATGGAGGGTTGGTTTGTCATGGGTCAAGAGTGTGACAACAAATGAGGATTTGGGGGATGGGGGTAGTACAATAATGATTTTTTTTAAATGATTTAAAAGACGTATATGAAAGTTCCATTCTGAGGGGGGCTCTGTAGTCACAGAGAACTTTAACAAGGGGGGGGGCGGAGACAAGGGAGGAAGGGAAAGAAGCAGGCTGAACTCTCCTCCAGGTGAGCTCCCAACCAGGGTGCACCTCCCAGCAGCCCTGAGACAGAAACAGAGTGAGTTCCCTTCCTAGGGGCTTGTAGCCACTGAAAACTATGCCAGCACCAGACAGGAAGGAACAGAAGGAGTGAGAGTCTTTTTAGGGTGTACTTCTGGGCTGGAAAGACTTCCCAGCAGCCCCAGGACAGAGGCAGAGCTAGTTCCTTTCCCAGTGGGCTCCCCAGCCACCGAGAAAACTTTATCAAGAGACAAGAGAGGAAGGAACAGAAGCAAGGCAAGCTCTCCTGTAGATGAGCTCCCAGTCAGTGAAATTCCCAGCTAACCTTGGAACAGAGACTGAATGAGCTCCCTTCCTGGTAACCTCCACAGCCATAGAGTACTTTGTTGCAGGACCAGAAAGGAAGAAACAGAAGCAGTCAAGTTCTCCTCTGGTTCCCTTTTGGTGGGCTCACCAGCCAAGGTGAACATTGCTGCCAGCTGAGGAAGGAAAGAAAAGACCAGAGATAGAACAAATGTGCTTCACAGTGAGCTCCCCAGCCCCAGATAACTTTGCTACAGGAGCAGAGAGGAAGGAACACAGGCAAGGTGAATTGCCCTCTCCTTCCCTACTGGAAGGAGTGTTGAAGTCCCGAGCTGAGAAAAGTCTTCCCATGAATCTAAGGACCAGAGAGAGCTTTAGGCAAAGCAAATTGCTCCTCCTTCTTCTGGAATAGTGAGCTTCCCAGCCAAGCTTTTCACACTCAAGACCTGTTAGGGCTCTAGGCAAGAAAATCTTTATCACAGCAATGACAAGGAAGAAGCGATCTCATACCCAACACAAAACCATAGCAAGATATCAACCCCCCCAAAAACGTGATCAAAACACCGGGTCAATGGATTTCCTGAAGGCAGAATATCTGATGGTTCTTTCTACCACAGAATTAAAAATAATGGTCTAGTATTTTAATAGGTGAAAGAAAAACTTGAAGAACTGCAGCATTCTATAAGCAAAAGCAAAGAGGAACAAAAACGTAATTCAACATAATGCAGCTAGAACAAATAAGGCATTAGAATCCCTAGAAAAGTAAGAAATAGCAACCTAGAATATTAAGATCAATGTTTCAGAAGCTGTCAATATGTTGGAAAAACAGAGGAGTAGAACTGAAGAAATGGAGCACAGAATCAGCAAAATAGAAGATAGACCTCTGAGAAATTATTTACTAGAGCAAAAATAGGATCAAAAAGGAAGGAAAATTAAGAAAGCCTAACTTTAGTCTGCTTGGCTCCACAGTCAACACTCTTGGCACCAGCAGCCAGGAAATAAAAAAACGTATTGCAATGGGAAAGTCTGCTGTTAGGGACCTCTCCAGGGTACCAAATAGCAATGGTGTCACTCTGGAAACTAAGGTGCATCTGATACATGCCATGGTCTTTGCAATCACTTGTTATGCATCAGAGAGTTGGACAACGACTAATGAGGACAGAAGGAGAATTGATGCCCTTGAGCTGTTGTGCTGGAGAAGAGTACTGAATATACCCTGGACTGCCAAGAAAACAAACAGATTCATCCTGGAGAGGGTTAAACCAGGCTGCTCCTTGGAGGCAAGGATTCTGAGACTTTGTCTGACATACTTTGGACATGTTCTAAGGAGGGAGAGGTCCTTGGAGAGGGACATCGTGCTTGGGGGGTGGTGGTGGAGGGATGGCACAGAAGGGGAAGATCATCTATGGGGTGGATTGATTCAG